ACACACACACACACACACACACACATATATATATATATATATATATATATATATATATATAATAAATAAAGGTTTAATTTAAAAAACTTAAATATTTTCATTACAGCAAAGCCATATACTAAAACATCGAATTTACATGTTATATAAAAATAGCAATATAAAAATGTATAGTTATATAAAATGTTATGAAAAATAAAAAATCAATTTTCAGGTTTAGTTTAAAAAAATTATTACAAGACAAATGCTATGAGATTTTTATGAAAAATATTAACCATTGAAAACTATAATAAATGTAACTGATTTTCTAAAATTAAACGATTTGGCGCGTGTTGCAAGTTTCTTTTAAGATGTACATGTACATTTGCAATATTATAAAAGCAGTAGCCTAACAATAAACGATTTTCATAGTATTAGTTGATCCTTTCCGACGCAGGTACCTGCCTACGTTCGTTTTCGACAACGAACGAATTCCTATATCGTTGAAAAAACTAACTGGCCGCCATGTTTTCAACTGCTTCGAAACCAGTTGATTTTCAACTAGTTATTTCGTTGCGACGAAACGGTTAGTTAGTTAACGAAGAAGAAACGGTTGAAAATAACCGTTCGTTGATTCAACGCCCATCACTAATGTACGGTATAATTAACTGTGCAAGATGTTTGATAAACTAAACTTAAAAGATTAACATTTTTGAAAATAATTACTCTGAAAAAATTAGATTTTTGAGAAACTTAACTGCATAGAGACGAAATATCGAAGCGCGTAAGCGGCGCGCCGCCGTCTAACGGATAAACATTGCTACGGAACCCATAGGAATGTAAACAAAATTCATACTTATTGTTAAAATTTCTATAAAATATCTGACAATTTGATGTGCATATGCCTAATGATAATTTTTAACCGCCAAATGGCATTTTTTTATATTTTTTTTACTATATCTCCGAAATGGCTAGACCTGCCTTCATGAAAATTTCTTGTTAATACAAGTAAAATGTTTTTTAAATTATTCAAATCGGACGCTCCGTTCTCTTAAAAACTGAGTTACCGTTTTCGGCATTTTTTGCCCCGTATCTTCGGAATGGCTAGACCTGCCTTTGCCAAAAACTAATCAGCACGTCTCCTTATCAATACGAATCGAATGTTTTTTGAATTATTCAAATCGCTTTATCCGTATTTCCGAAATCGTCGACGAAAATTTGTATCCGAACACACATACACACACGCACAAACACATACTTCCATTTTTTCTAAAGTATGTCAAAATATTTAGAAATCTCTGAAACGTAAAAATATATAAAAATTTTCATTTTCGATTTTTTTGCGATTACTATAACTTGCCCTACGGGAAGTTGATAAAAGCAAATAATAATAAAAGTAAAATTAATAAATAAAATAAATAAAATTTTTGAATAATAAAATAATACTAGGAAAACAATAAAGTGGAATTAAAACAATAAGTGACAGATACCTGGATGGTAAACCTAAATTTGGCAAAAAATTAATGAATATCATTATAATCCGCGTAAAAACCCGTATATTTTAACTTACGTCATTATTAGTCACATATACATTTTTTGTGACGACATAGCTTCTTGAAACATGGATAGGATTGAAATAATTTATTTTAAATATGTCGATACATATACAATTATATATATATATATATATATATATATATATATATATATATATAATATAATATATGAGTAAGTTCTTGTGGGGTGATACATCAAAAAATAAAAAGCAAAGATTTATTCCAAACGTTGGAATTAAAGATTAATTTATAAATCTTTGCTTTTTATTCTTTGATGTATCGCCCCACAAGAACTTACTCATATATCTCAACATCAGAAATAACAACTAAATCATATATATATATATACTACCTGACTCGGCAGACGTTTTTCATAAAGCAATATTTTTAGTACAAAATGTTTGGTATAAAAATAATATAGCAAATGTAGTATATAAGTGAAAAGAACAGCTATTAATGAATATATAACAATGAATAGCTTACCTACTACTACAAAGCACGCCACATATAAATGTACCTGTGAAATATTAAAAGGCTTTGCAAGATCTACTGAATATTCATCTGGCAATTTTGATACATTATTACTGCCCTTTTCATTATTTCATTAATTTTTGAATTACGAAGCAAACTCGAATAATTCATTTTTAACTTCTCCTTGGGTAAGTTATTGTAATCCTCCAAAAATCGAAATCGAAAATTTTTGCATTATCGACGTTTTGAAGGTTTCTGAACATTTTGGCATACCTAATAAAAAATGGATGTGTGTGTGTGTATGTATGTATGGATACAATTTTTCGTCCACGTTTTCGGGCGCACGGATCAACCGATTTGATGGTTCAAAAAACATTCGATTCCTATCGATAGGGAGATGTGCTGATTAGTTTTTGGCAAAGGCAGGTCCAGCAGTTACGGAGATAAAGAGCAAAGAGAGCAGAAAATAGAATAGTTTTTGAGAGAACCAAGCATCCGAATTGAATGATCTAAAAAACATTCAATGAGTAATGATTGGAAAAAGTGGTTATTAGTTTTTGGCCCAGCCATTTCGAAGATACAGAGCTAAATGTTAAAAAAATGCAGTTTTTGAGTGAACTAAGCGTTCGATTTAAATGATTCAAAAAACTTTCTGCTTGTTTTAACAAAATAATTTATTTTTTTGTTTCAAATTTTTTTTTCGATTTTTTTTCAATTCTGACTATAGTTCTAATATACTTCAAACAAATAATTTCAACTTTGCAATTCAGTTTATAAATAATGCTTATAAATATTAGACAATGTTACAATATTAATAATAATCTATTTGAAAACATTCAGTATTCCTCGAACATTTCGTTACGGTACGGAAAGTTCCAGCAATTTGCCTTAAGGTACGATGCCATACACCTCACTAGTTAAGTTATATTGTTATATAGCCCGCCCAGCGATTTGAGTAAGAATGAAAAAAAAATTGAGAGAGTGAAAAATTGTACAACTCTGCCATAATTTTATTTAGTACCTAGTTCAAAAACTTTTGTATCTTTAGATTTTGCTATTCAATCTCTCTATTTCTTGTAAAAATTTTTTTTTATGCAAATCATCTATCAACTACTTACTATTTGTGCGCATTGGGAAATGTTTGTACAATGGAATACTTGGAGGGGTAAACAGCCATTGATAAAAATAATTTTTTTTTGAGTAAAATATGCTTTATTATCAAAATATGCATTAAAATTCAGTAAAAAACACTCAGTAACTTAAAGTGTGGTGAAAAATTATTCGATTACTAAAATGATTATTATCCATTAGAGATTTGTGGAAGGAGGGTGAAAAAGTTGGAGTTGTATGCATTTATTGAGAATTAAAATTAAAAAAACAATCGTCGAACACCCAAATTACTCGGCACAAAAAGTATTCTCAGAAGCGCGCCCAACCAGTCTAAAACGAAAAATTCCCAATGATCTCATAAATAGACATTTGTAAACACTAACATTAATAATAATAATATTATTATTATTATTATTATTATTATCATCATCTTACTATTTCTATTATTGTTATTTTGTTATATTTTATTGTTTTTTTCTAATATTATTTTATTATTCAGAAATTTTATTCATATTATTTATTAATATTATTTGTATTATTATTTGCTTGTATTTTATATTACATCATCATACTACGGATATTATTTTCATGTAAATTCTATCCTTTGCACTCTTATTTATTTAAATTTATGTAAGTATTTATCAATATTGCTAGATGTTAACTATTTAACAGTTGTAATAAATATTGTAATTAAAAAAAAATAATAATAAGAAAATTGGCTACAAAATTAAAAAAAAGTTAGGGATGGGCAACCCTTGATAAAAAATAAATTGTATTTGAGTAAAAAAAGTTGTATGTATTTTTCAAATACGAATTTAAAAACTAAAATAAAAACTAGTGGGGTGTATGACATCGTGCCTTAAAGCAAATTGCTGGAACTTCCCGTACCTTAACGAAATGTTCAAGAAATATTGAATGTTTTCAAATAGATTATTATTAATATTGTATCATTGTCTAACATTTATAAGAATTATAAAGTTGAAATTATTTGTTTAAAGTATATTAGAACTATAGTCAGAATTGAAAATAAAATTTGAATTATTTTCGATATACAAAAAAAAATTGAAAAAAAAATTAGAAAAAAATTTTGAAACAATTTTTTTTCCAAAATCAATTATTTTGTTAAAACAAGCAGAAAGTTTTTTGAATCATTTAAATCGGACGCTTAGTTCTCTCAAAAACTACCATTTTTATAACATTTAGCTCTGTATCTTCGAAATGGTTGGGCCTACCTTTGCCAAAAACTAATAATCACTTCTTCCAATCATTACTAATTGAATATTTTTTAGATCATTCAAATCGGATGCTCCGTTCTCTCAAAAACTCGATTTTTATTTTCTGCACTCTTTGCTCTTTATCTCCGTAACTGCTGGACCTGCCTTTGCCAAAAACTAATCAGCACATATTCCTATCAATAGGAATCGAATATTTTTTGAACCATTCAAATCGGTTGATCCGTGCGCCCGAAAACGTGACCGAAAAATTGTATCCATACATACATACACACACACACACGCACACATATATATATATATATATATATATATATATATATATTTATCTGTGTGTGGATGTATACGCAATGATTTTATAAAAATCATCATTTTTATTTTTATATTAGTGTTTCTATTTTAATAACTCACCTGTGTACAAACATTTACAATGCTATGATTAATTTCAAATATTATGTTCATGAAGAAGTGTGCGGATGCACAATAAATTTTCCCTTACGTCAATATGTACGACAATTATCGAATACTAAGATTAATAAATGTTGATTACTTACATTGTTATTTATTAATAAGCTTCCAAACATAAATAACAAATGTGGATATCCCTACCACAGTAACACTTCTAGTATGTTAATAAAAATGCTAAATATAAAAGTTTTAGATTTCTCAAGACAGTGTGTGAGTCGTGGATATAACACGTGTCTGTGCAGAAATTTTAATAAACCAGAAAAATTATTTATTATAGGAATATTTAATGATCATTAGTGCGAAGCAGCAAACAGCAAACATTATAAGGTATGTCAAAAATTATAAATTAATAAATTTATATAAATATATATATATATATATATATATATTACAGGGCCGGTCCTGGGGTCCCTAGCGCCCGCATGCAACTTTTTTCTTCTAGCGCCCCGCCACCCTCATTAATTAACAGTTTTAACATTTTATCATTAATATTATATAAATATTTACATATTTTTTTAAAATTAATTTTTAATTATTTTCGATTTAGTACACAAAAAATTAGATATAATCTAAAAGCGTATAAAATACATTAATTTTAAATTTATTTAGAAAATCGTGGTAAGATTCGTGGGTTGATAATATCAAATTTTTAAAATTTTCAATTATTTTTAACGTATGTGCAATGTTAATATTTGGGTTTTAAAACATTTTACTTATTTATTATTCGATTTATTCTATTGAACAAATCATGCCAAGAGAGCTAAAAAAACTAGCTTTTCATTTTCAATCATAACACTCGTATTTCATGTTGGATTTTTTAAATTTCAATTTAATTTTTCATTATTTACAATATCCAAAATTGAATCGTAAACTTCTCCTTATTGATATCATAAGACCCGAATTGTATTTATCCTTGCATTGCCGTCATATTCAGAGTATCAGATTGTTGTTTTAAAGTTAAATTTTTAACCTATTTTAAAAGTATTGTCCAAAAAATTAGTAAAAAAATGCAATGCAGCTAGTGGGGCGCATGGCATCGTGCCTTAAGGCAAATTGCTGGAACTTCCCGTACCAAAAATTATTTTTTTAAAAACGATTAACATTTTTGAAAAAGTTTTACTCAAAAAAATTAGATTTTTGAGAAACTATAAATTTGAAACAAAATTACTTTTTTTAAAAAAAAAAAATTATTGAAAAAAAATGAAAATAAAAATTTTCTTTATTTTGGCATATTTTGGAAATTCTGAACTTTTTTCAAAGCAATAGTACTGCTTTAACAGCATAGTTAATACAAATAAAATGTTTTTTGAATTATTCAAATGGGACGCTCCGTTCTCTTAAAAACTGATATACCGTTTTCGGCACTTTTAGCCCCGTATCTTTGGAATGGCTAGACCTGCCTTCGCCAAAAACTAATCAACACGTCTCCTTATCAATGCGAATCGAATGTATTTTGAATTATTCAAATCCGCATCCGAAAATTTGTATCCGCACACACATACATACACGCACATACACACACACATACACATAGATTCATTCTATCTCTTTTTAATGTTAACACTTTTGTTAGTGTTTGAGCGATAAGAATGTCACTGTATATTATACGAACGAAAAAATTTACAGTACAAAATTATAAATATCTCTTTGAAAATATTTAAAACAATTGTTATTAATAATGATTCTCTAGTGGTACGGGAAGTTTCATCAAATTGGTTTAAGGCACGATGCCATACACCACCAGTTACTACTTGAATCGGTTGATTATATAAAAAAAACTGGTATTTTTTGCAGTTATTTTAGCAATTCAATCATTTTTTATACCGCGTTCAGTCTTTGAATATTTTTGACATAAAATTAGTTCCGATTTTTGAGCTTGAATCAAAAGCTTAATGGAACAATTATGCTTGTTGAAAAATAAATTACCACAACACTACTCCGATTAAAACAAATGTAATACCAAGCTATATAAATTATAAAAGTATATATACATATATATTATAAAAATTATTTTATTTTATTTCCAGGAAAATTTCTAAATATTTGCTCATATTTCTACAAAGGACATGGCATCAATAACCAATGATCTGGATATTCTAAAATGTCAAGGTACATAAATTAATGTTTTAAATTACAAATTTATTAACTTCCCGAAGGAGAAGTTTATGTTTTCATAAAAAAATCCGATTCACTGATTTTATGTTTTCTCGACGTTTCAAGCCATCCTGAATCGAATGAGACCAAATTTGGAAGAAGCATGTTGTGTGTGTGTGCGTGTAAATCGACGTTTTTCCAAAGACGGTTGGACCGATTTCAAAAATTTAAAATCGATGTATTTCGATGAAGACTAGCGTTTCTGAGTTTTGTGTGACGATCGGCCGAGCCGTTTCTTTGTAAATCGCAGAAAAGTGAAAAAAATTTTGTCCACGTTTTAGCCCGTAATTCTTAATCGATTTTGAAAATTCAAAAACCGTTTGATAGATACTGATTGGGAATCCTGCTGATTAGTTTTTGGTAGAGATCGGCCGGGCCGTTTTCTTTAAATAAAGTTAAAAAAAAAATCGACGATTTTTATTATTTTTTTGACGGTAGATACCATAGTCTTCTAGATCACACTAAAATATTACAGCTTTACGACAACTCGTTCAGCTTTAAAAATTCATCAAAGTGTGCAAAAATTTGTATAGTTTTTTGGCATTTGTCAAAATTAGACCTTTGATCGACGTTTTCTCAGAAACGCCTGAACCGATTTCAGAAATTTAAAAGCCATTTGATGTATCTCGATGAGGACTATCGTTTGTCAGTTTTGTGCGACGATCTGCCAAGCCGCTTTTTTATAATTTGAAAGAAAAAGTTAAGCTTTTCATCCACATTTAAGCTCAAACTACCGAATCGATTTTAAAAAATCAAAAACCGTTTTCTTGTAATTAACTGTTGAAAAAAAATCGAGGCCGATTTAATGGAACTTTTTTTGGCGATATATATCATGGTCTTAAAGAAATTACTGAAATATTGCGGTCTTACGACAAGTAATTTAATTTTAAAAAAGTTTGAGAAAATAAGTAGTTCTTTTGGGATTCGTTAAAATTAAAATTAGACGATTTACTTGGTATAACGATAGAGTACTTGGTCTTAATGAACATACTAAACAATTAAAGTTCTACAAAAAACTGGCTCAATTATAAAAATTATTGTTTGTTGAAAATTTGCTTTTAAAAAATACTCCGACCGGGTTGACGTGTTTGTTTTTCAATAATGTGTAATAAATACACTTCGAATAATTTTAACTACTCATAAATTAATTTATCTATCATAGATTAAGTCGATTATTTACACAAATCGGGAAGTTCATGTAACTTGCCTCAAGGCTAAATACCAATACCAACTAGTTTTTAATTATTTTAGATTCTGCAATCAAAAATTTTTATACAAATCGCAGCATTCTAATAACAGGCGCTACAGGATTTTTGGGAAAAGGTAATGAATATGTTATATTCCATTTTATAAATTGAGCGTAATGTAATTTTAACTAGCTTGATTGATTATCTAGCATTGATAGACAAAATATTGCGGTCTTGCCCCGACGTAGAAAAATTATATTTACTCGTGAGAGCTAAAAAAGGAAAAAATGTTTTGGAAAGAGTGGACACCTTATTTGAAGACCCTGTAAGTTGGCGCATATATTAATTTAAATATAGTAAACTGGCTTTATTTAAGGTTATAAGAATTCACAACTTGATCATTTGAATTAAATCGTACCCGTCAATATCGGTGACAATGATATTCAAGAGTAATGCAAAAATAATTTAATTGGATTTTCCTAAAAAAAATTTTTTATTTTGTATTTAAGAGAAATACTTCTTTTACTAATTTTATTGGTTAAACTACAGATTCTATACTGCAGAATTATATAATAGATTAATTTAAAAAAAAATTCAATCAGATACTATATCTGATTAGAACTAGTTAACCAAACTACCATAAGCATGAGCATCAAGCTCTTCAAAACTCAGAACCTCAAATAATAAAAAGCAAACCCAAAAATTAAAATAATAAATTTATAAATTTTATTTTTTTCTTGTAATTTAAATTTTATTGTACCATATTTATGCCTTTTTTGTAGGTATTTGATCAATTAAAACTAGACATGCCAAATTATCGACATAAAATAATAGGGATTAATGGCGACTGTTCAATAGTGGGACTTGGTTTAAATGAAAAAGACAGAAAAATGATTTGTAGCAAAGTTTCTATATGCATTCATAGTGCTGCTACAGTTAGGTAAGTATGAGTGCAACTGAATGTAAATTATCTTTAGAAATCGCTTCTTTTATTATTAATTATTAATTTTTATTATTAATTTTATTATATCGCTTCTTTAATTATTATTAAACCGCCCGATTTTTCGGCGGCATTTTTACCGGTATTTACCCCAAAAATACCGGTATTTTCGGTATTTTTACATAAGCGCTCTTTGATACATAATACATTAAAGTTTAAATTTCTCGGAACAAATTCATCTTTAAATTCCATAATCGCATAAACAGCTATATCTTCAAGTGATTATATAGGATAAACAAATGTCAAATATTATCTCAACTCGTCATTAAACTGAATATTTATTGCTTTACTAAGGGCTACGTATCGTGTTGCAATAAATAGAATTGGACTGATAGATAATGGTGTTTGTTTCATCTTATGTAAAAATGTAACTGTTTTTTAAGTGATATTTGCGCCAAAATATTTTATATCATACAGATTACCCCTGCGTAATCTTTATTTTTTTCTAACTTTATACATAATAATTATGATAACTACTAAATATTTTCGATTCTTATTACAATTATAAAATATTATTTTTCGAAAACGTTTCGATGTTCAAAAATACTATAGAAGCATTACATTGTTTTAAATAACAATACTCAACAATTATATTAACTTATTATTTATCTCGACAAAGTATCCGATCTTAAATTAGTGTAGAAAAATATTTTTTTTTTAAAATATTGGAGATTATACTAATTTAACACATCGGATACAGACAATACAGTTTATTATAATAATGTAATGTTATCTTTTATGAGTTTTTGGTTTTTCTTACTCATAAGTTTGTTTTTGGTAAAAAAGTACTCAATATACTCGATAGTGATAATGAATTAATTAAATTGGATATAATTTTGTTAAATATTTATTTTAAAAAATAAATTTATTGTTTTATTTCATTGTTAAGTTGAATGTAGTTGAAGTTGTATATACATTTTTCTATTTGTACTAGTAACTTTCAATTTTGTTTACGTTTATTTAATATAATAAAAATACCGGTAATTTACCGGTATTGCGGTTTTAAAATAAAAAATAACCGGTATTGAAATTTTCCATCGGTAACGCATTCCCTAATTGCTACTATATATACTAGGGCGGGTCGATTTAAAGGTCGCTTAGGCACATATGATTTTCGGCTACTACGGATCAAAATAAGATACTTTGCTGAAGAAATCATACCTCTAAAATGAATTCTGATGTCTCGTGCATTCACCCAAAGATAGGGATTGAATTTTGAAAAATTCCGTCTTACTCCATTTAGAGTACTCCAATCGTGTCCAAATGTATAACAAACCCCAACTAACTTTGGAAGGCAAATCCACCCATGCCTATGGTTCACCCCCTGGGACCTCTCCTTAGAAGTCTTCCATACAAATATTACAAAAAATCATCGTTTTTGGTAATTTACTCAGCAAAAAATGTTTTTTTGTAAGTCGGTTTTCACTGTATAAATGGAAAATGACAAATATAGCTAAATATAAAAGAGAGATGAAAGCGTTTTGGTTCTCAAAATCATATCGGTTCAATAGCATTTGATATCTTATCAGTCTGCAATGATGCCCAGAAAGGTTTTATATATATTAATTTAGATTTTTATACCAGAGTATATTTTAATTTAAATCAGTGTTACTTCTTGAAGAAGTGACATCCTCTACTCAAACTCAAAAAAAGAGTTTTAAACTCTAGAAGCCACAAATAAAAGAACAAAAAGCTTATAATTATTATATAAAACTTTAAAAACAATTAAGCATAATTTGGTCGCACGCATGAGAGTATTTTCTATTTCAGTAGCAATTCGATAGATGTTCTCAGTTTTTTGAAATCATATTTTATTAAACAAAAAAACAATTAGAATGTTTAAAATTAATTAATTAAAATTGCTCGGAATAGGCAATACCCGAGTTTAGCTTAATTGTTTTTAAAACTAAAATTGATATTTACAAGTATATATCAACATGTATCTAATTTATTTTTTTATTTAGAAATGTATTATTTTTATTTATTCGAAAACTTTCCTTTCACTACCATAAAAATATTTTCATTCTTATATGTAAAAATGATGCATGAATACAAATAATTATTTTCAAATTTATTTAATCAAGATAAACTATTATTTTTAGTTCTATTTACTACAATTAAAATAATTTTGTTTACTATCTATAAAATTGAACAATAAATAAATTCAGTCAAATACTGCTCTAAATCACACTAAATTTGCGGATAAATTACAGAATATTCGACCAAAAATTTATTTTCTATATAAAATTCGAAAACCGGCTAAAACCGGTTTTTTAGCAAAATTAAAATTCGAAAACCGGTTTTCTGAAATGCCGGTTTTTGTATAAACCCTAGTTTCTATGCTAGCTAGAGGGTGTTACTAGAGCCGTGCAAAATTTTCCAGACTTGAAACTAAGAAAGACTTCAAACAATTTCAACAACATAGTTTTATATACTTATGATTAAATAAATTTTATAATAAAAATAAATCGCAGATTTTTGTCATGTTGAAGTACCCAAAATGATGCAACTTTTGTATGGGGGATCTCTAACGGAAGGTTCCAGGGGGTGAACCATGGGCGTGGGTAGATCGGCCATCCAAAGTTACTGGGGTCGGTCATACATTTGGACATTATTGAGGCGCTCTAAATGAAACAAAACAGGATTTTTCAAAATTTGACCAAATTTTTGTGTGAATGCACGGGAAATCAGAATTCATATTAGGGATATGGTTTCTTCGGCAAAGTATCTTATTTTGATCCCTAGTATATAAAAATCATATGTACCTATGTGACTTTTTTACCCACACAAATCGACCTCTCCTAATATATATATATATATATATATATATATATATATATATATATATCGGTTTTCGAATTTTAATTTTACTAAAAAACCGGTTTTAGCCGGTTTTCGAATTTCATATAAAAACTAAATTTTTGCTCAAATATTCTGTAATTTATACTCAAATTTATTTTATTATTCAATTTTATGGATAGTAAACAAAATTATTTTAATTTAAATTAGTAGAACTAAAAAATAATAGTTTATCTTGATTAAATAACTTTGAAAATAATTATTCGTTATTCATGCAACATTTTCACATATAAGAATGAAAATATTTTTATTTTTATAATAGTGAAAGGAAAGTTTTCGAATAAATAAAAATAATACATTTTTAAATAAAAACCATTCACTAAATTTAAAAAAAAAATTAGATACATGTTGATGCATACTTGTTGATATCAATTTTAGTTTTAAAAACAATTAAGCTAAACTCTCGGGTATTGTCTGTTCCGAACAATTTTAATTAATTAATTTTAAACATTCTAATTATTTTTTTTTTTAATAAAATATAAAAACTGAGAATGTCTTTCGAATTGCTACTTAGGCGTGTCCTTTATTACTCACTAAATTTTCTGAAATAGAAAATACTTTCACACTTGCGACCAAATTATGCTTAATTGTTTTTAAAGCCTGATATAAAAAGTTTTTTGTTCTTTTATTTGTGGCTTCTAGGGTTTAAAACTCTTTTTTTTTAATTTGAGTAGAGGAAGTTATTTCTTCAAGAAGAAGTCACACTGATTTAAATTAATATATACACTGGTATAAAAATCTAAATTAATATAAACAAAACCATTGCAGACTGATAAGATATCAAATGCTATTGAACCGATTGATTTCGAGAATCAAAACGCTTTCATCTATCTTTTATATTTGGCTATATTTGCCATTTTCTATTTATACAGTGAAAACCGACTTTTTTTTACTAAAAAACCGATTTTCAAATTCTGTTTTTGCCTAATTTTCGCCTAAAAACCGGTTTTTGAAAACCGACAAACCCGAATATATATATATATATATATACTAGCTGACCCGACAGACGTTGTTCTGTACCCACGTCTACAATTTTTCAATATTTTATACTAATATTTACTGCTTAGTTAAGAATAATAGTTACTGTTTTTTGAATTACTATTTACACCAATATATGAGTGATGTTGAATGTAGAACTGTTTCAAACAAAATGATTGTTCTCAATTCCCACAGTTAACAATTTAATTATTCATTTAACAAATATTAAAAAATGTTCAATAAAATTGTATATTAAAAATTTTACACTGCGATATATAGAACAAATTTCCAATAGCTCAATTTATTTTATTGCATTCAAGGGTTATTTTTAGTCATACCTGTAGATGTGGATGTATAAATGAATGATTTTTTATTTATTCACGACTAAAACATTGATTTTCCAAATTTATCACACTAAAAATGATCGTCTTCCTTTGTGATTTATGGTTATAGCATAAGAAACACGTGTTGAAAATTGAAATCTTTTAAAAAGTACAACAAATTCAGAAAGAATTAATATATAGCATTCGCGGCAAAGGTGCAATATCACCTTTTATTTTTCTACCCAAAATAATTGCTTTCATAATGCTGCCTATAATTTTTATAATTCCGTACCATATTTTAACTGGCTTTTAGTAATTTTATTATCTAAGTTACATTTTTTTCTCCAATAAATCAATATACATTATTGCTTAAGTTTATATTTGAAGTGAATTAATTTGTCAAATCCTGTTTACATGTGCTCTATTCAACTTACGACCAACAAAATTATTGCTCTGTGAATTTTTTTACTGTGCTCCAATTTACTTGATATTTTGGAAATAGGCTAATCTTTATCTTAAGTTCAGAAGTAAAAACAATTTGCACTCCGTCACCATCCACCGCATTAATTGGATTATTACTCTTTTAATTCTGATTTTATCAGAACTTGTAATACACTATTTTAAAGGTGATTAAATGAGCTACAACTTTCTGTATCATAAATTTTACCGTAACTTCTCTTATTGTGAAACGGCGAAAGGTTAAAGAGCTCGAAAGACCTCTGGTTGGACAACCGCGCACTCCTTAATTAATCATACCTCTATCAATATTTGTGTAACGGAAAAATAATAAACAACAATAATTAGTCAGAAAAATACCTCGAATTTTCATATATATATACTTTTATACGTATTCTTTCAGAGACATTATAATGAGAAATTGGATGATTTTTTTTAATGTTTTTTTTTTATGAAATCATGAGTTTTTTGAAAATCGTTTGTACTAAAGTTGTGGTATTTTCTAGAATCCATCAAGATCTCTTAAACCAAGTTAATTCTAGATGGAATACGATTATTTTTAAATTTGGTGGAAATGGCACTGAAAAACTATTTTATTTAAATGAAAAAACATTATATGCGTCTTTTATTTGTATGATAGTTTACTCATTTTACACGCAGAACTCCTTTTAAAGCTTATTTTGAGCACTATAAAAACCCATTTTCCTATCTAGCCTAATAATGTTCCTAAAACACTATAAAATAGCGATTTATTAAGATTTCAATTGATATAATTTTGTTTATTACATGATTTTCGTTAAAATGTATATTTTTGAAGATATTAGCAAAAAATGATGAAAAACGCAAAAAAGAAACAAATTTTCAGTATCCAGTAACTTGAAAAGTATTTGCTTTTTTAAAAAACATTATTAAACATTTTTCTCTTATAATTAGTTCTTTTATCGATACCAAACGTTATTTTGAAAAAAGTAAAATTACACCACTGAAAAGAAATGTCATCCACCCGAGAAGTGGTAAAGGAGTCTAAATTGTTTTCACTTCTGAAGAGCAAGATGAACCTAGTTCCAAAATTCCAAACGAAATGGAAAACAGTAAAAAAAGTTCAGACCGAAAGGGCTCCATTGAGTAAATATTCCGTACCCAATGACAATAATATGAATTTTTGACACAATGAAACTTCTAAATAATTTTTTTTGTATTGTGACTTTGTATAGTAAGGCAAAACGACTGCAAATTTAATATTTTTGAGCGCAATCACTTATGGCTCGTTTCCTTTGCACGAATTCGTACGGCGAATCTGTTCGCAAAGTGCGCAAACAAAATTATTGCAAGCAAAAGCAAACACACGCGCACGTCAGACGCATGCGCAGACTGCATCACTTGTCAAATGCATGTTATATTATTTGCATCTTATATTAATTTAATTTTTGGCACATCTCAGCTGCTTTTCGGCATTAATAATGTAGACATTACATTTTGCTTAATCATAATCATGAATTTATTATATTTTAATATTGCCTTAGCCTATAAGTGAACATAAATGTTTGGCAAATGACAGTCTTCAATTGTTTTTAATGTCAAACTAAGCTTCAAATATTTTCAAGGGCAAACAATGATAAGCGGTTTTTTGTAATTTTTTCCATTTATTTCTACAATCTAACTATATTTCTATGAATTAAAACATTCTAGAAAATTTCCCAAACAAACTTCAGGAAGATTCATAAAAATCCGAATTATAGTTTAGGAGGAATTATGAAACTTACATTGTTACAGAAGAATTTTATATATAAGATATGTAGCGGCTTGTCAACAAGCATCGCATTTCTACTGGACAGATAGGCTCATCATAGTGACAGCACGGAGGAAACAAAAGTTATAGTGTCAGTTCGGATCTCTCTATTGTTTCTCCCCAGTCTCACTGCCAAAATTATAATTCATAACACTTTTCCTTTTTATTGAAAATACACAAATACTAACTATATTTTATAAATGATAAATATGATAACACATAGTGTCGTTACTATTTTATTATAAATAAAATATATTACATATGGACCACGCTTTCCATATATATATATATGTATATATATATATATATATATATATATATATATATTTTGTTTGTGTTTTAGGTTTGATGAAGAGATGAAAGAAGCCGTTGCCATTAATGTGCAAGGAACCAAGGAAATTATTCTATTATGTAAAGAAATGCTTAACATTCAGGTAATAGTCGTCATTTTAAGAATAACATTTTTTAAATGTTTGTCTTTTATTATTTAAAGCCTGCAACAAATTGTTTATTCGGCAAAATACGGGATATTCTGCATACGAGACCAAATACCGAATGTTCGGCAAATTCTCGGCAAGGTTTTAGCGCCTAAACCGTTTTTTTTAACTTCCCGTAGGGCAAGTTATCGTAATCGCAAAAAAATCGAAAATGAAAATTCTTATATATCTTTACGTTTCAAAGGTTTGTGAACATTTTGGCACACCTTAGATAAAATGGTTGTATGTGTGTGTGTGTGTGCGGATACAAATTTTTGTCGACGATTTCGGGAACACCGATCAACCGATTTGAATAATTCAAAAAACATTCGATTTGTATTGATACGGAGACGTTCTGATTAGTTTTTGGGCGAAGGCAGGTCTAGCCATTTCGAAGATACAGGGCAAAAAGTGCCAAAAGCGGCAACTCAGTTTTTAAGAGAACGGAGCGTCCAATTTTAATTAAGGTTCAAAAAACATTTTACTTGTATTGACAAGATGAAGAACTGATTACATTTTTGGGAATGCAGGTCCAGCGGTTATGGACTCTCAATAAAAATAAGTTAAAAAATTGCCATTTGGCGGTCAAAAATGTTTATTGGACATATGTACATTAAATTATCAGATATTTTATAGAGATTTTAATAATGTGTACACATTTTGTGTAAATTTTTTGGGTTTCGTACCAAGATTTTTAATTTTGATATTCAAGTATATGGTGCAAACAAATGTCCACGACATTTTCGACAGTATGAAATAACCGATTTGAATAATTCAAAGAACATTCGATTCGTATTGATAAGGAGACGTGCTGATTAGTTTTTGGCAAAGGCAGGTCTTACGGTTTGGATGATACGGGGCAAAAAAAGCCATAAATGTTAATTCAGTTTTTGAGAGAACGAAGCGTCCGATTTGAATAATTCAAAAAACATTTCATTAGTATTGATTGAACGAAGAACTGTTTAAATTTTTTGAAAGGCAGGTTCAGCGGCTATAGACTCTCAATAAAAAAAAAAGTTACAAAAATGCCATTTTGCGGTTAAAAATGCTCATTAGACACATGCTCATAAAATTATCAGATATTTTATAGAAATTTTAATAAGATATTTTATTGTGTACACATCTTGTGTAAATTTTTTTTCCTTTCCGTACCAAAATCTTTAATCGGTTTTGATAGGTAGATGGAAAAGCAGATGTTATTTATCGTGTCTCATTCAAAAAAATAATGAATATTCAATTGATTTTTTTATATAAAAAGCAATAATTCTCTTTAATTTTAGGCACTTGTACATGTATCGACAGCTTATGCTAATTGTCATAGAACGGAAATTGATGAAAAGACCTATCCACCTACAATTTCCAGTGAAAACCTTATGAAGCTATGTGAATGCCTTGACAGTTCAACGTTAAATTGCTTCACACCTTCGTTAGTATTCTGCATGCACATATTAAAAGTTTAAAATTATATGCTCGATATATATATATATATATAATATATACATATATATATATATATATATATATATTAGGGTGGTCCTTAAAATGGTCATTTTAGAATTTTCTTGCTCCCAGTGGCTCAAATGGTTCCAAATTGATAAAAAACAATTCCCTGAAAGTATATTTTTCAAAAAATTTTCCGTGCTATTTCCATACAAAGTTTGAATTGGAATATATAATATAATTTTATTTTATAGGCTGTTAAAAAAATTTCCGAATACATATGCTTTTACCAAATCCGTAGCAGAAGATGTGGTTGAGAAGTATGCTAAAGGATTACCAGTTGCTATATTTAGGCCTGCTATAGGTATATCTTAATTAAATAAAATGTATAATATATATTTTGATAAATATATATATATATATATATATATATATATTATAGAATTTTGTGATATGAGTGGAACGAATATTAAATGTTAAATTTGAACATTACAACATACAACACTCAGATTTTTAGCACACACTTTATTTGGGAATTATAGACGTTTCGAGACCATGGTATGCCTCATCTTCAATGTAATTTCAATAACTGTTCAATTTTGGCAGTCCAAATACGACCAAAATTTTGGGTAAAATTCGACTTTTTTTAAAAAAACGCCGTCATTTTGTCAATTTTTGATTTTTTTCTTTATCGTAGTTCATTTTACAGACAATATTATCTAGTTTAACGAGTTTTTTTTTTAATTTCATTCACGTAGAAGGCCGGAATCACTGCAGCAGTGAAGGGCTTTTTTTTGTCGCGCCGTTGGAGATCGACGATAACTTAAAAATATTTTTTTTCTTCAAAAATTTTACTATGTATTCTTAAAGCATGTATAAATATATTACTAAAATTTTGAAATGATTGATAAAGTAGTTTTTTTAATATAAATTCCCAAAAATCACGTTTTTTTTAGGCGGTTACACTAGTTGTGCCCCTTAATACGTCCAATTATAAAAAACAGAGTCGCTAAATTTCTTAAACCTTTTGATAAGAAACCGATTTGTTAAAATATTTCACTGTGTCAAGCTTTGCAGTGATAGTTGGTGTTTTTTGTATTATCAAAAATTAAATGTAATTTAAATAAATTATTAAAGAATGTGTAGTATATAAGTAACTGTTTTAGAAATTACATTGAAGATGAGGCATACCATGGTCTCGAAACGCCTGTAATTACCAAATAAAGTGTGTGTTAAAAATCTGAGTGACGTATTGTTCATATTTAACATTTAATATATATATATATATATATATATATATATATTACCTAATCTACAGTGATTAGTTCGGCAAAGGAACCAATTTGTGGATGGATAGACAACATGTATGGGCCAACAGGCATTGTAGTAGGCGTTGGCGCAGGCCTCATTCGAACAATGCATATGGACCGGCAAGTTGCTGCTAATGTGGTTCCCGTCGATATGTGTGTGAATGCCATATTGGCCTGTGCATGGGATATGGGAATGAATAGGTGAGCTTTTCTAACGTGTTACAGCTTTATCTATCTTCAGATAGACTATTTTATAATTGTATCTAAAAATCTAATCAGCACATCTAACCATCAATGTGTACAAATCGATTGTTTTCTAAATCAATCAAATGCTCCGTTTCTCTAACGACTGGACCTGCCTTCACAAAACACTGAACAGCACATCTGCATGTCGTGCACATTTGCACGACGTTTTCTCGAGAACGGCTGGGCCGATTTCAAAAATTTAAAAACCATTCGATGTATCTCGACGAGGACCATTGTTTGTCAGTTTTGTGCGACGATCGGCCGAACGTTTCTTTATAAATAGCAGAAAAGTGAAAAAATTTTCGTCCACGTTTTAGCCCGCAATTCTGAATGGATTTCGAAAATTGAAAAACCGTTCGAAAGATATTGGTTGGGAATCGTGCTGATTAATTTTTAGTAAAGATCGGCCTGGCCGTTTTCTTGTAATAAAGCGTTAAAAAAATTTTTCGACGATTTTTATTATAATTTTTTTGACGGTAGATACTATAGTCTTCAAGATCATACTAAAATATTACGGCCCTACGACAATTGGTTTAACTTTGAAAATTCTTTAAAGTTTGCAAAAATTAGTATCGTTTTTTTGGCATTTGTCAAAATTAGACCTTTCATCGACGTTTTCTCAAAAACGCCTGAACCGATTTCAGAAATTTAAAAGCCATTTGATGTATCTCGACGAGGACTATCGTTTGTCAGTTTTATGGGACGATCGGCCGAGACGTTTCTTTGTAATTTGAAAAAAAGTGTTAAACTTTTCGTCCACATTTAAGCTCATCCTACCGAACCGATTTTAAAAAATCAAAAACTGTTCGAAAGATATTAGTTGGGAATGATACTGATTAGTTTTAGGTAAAAATCTACCGAACCGTTTTCTTGTAATTAACTGTTGAAAAAAATTTAAGCCGATTTTTATGGAACTTTTTTTGGCGATATATATCACGGTCTTATACAACTTATTGAAATATTACGCCCTTACGACAAGTAGTTTAATTTTAAAAATTCACGAAATTTTAAGAAAATGAGTAGTTTTTTTTGACGTTTGTTAAAATTAAAAATAGACGACTTACTTGGTATAACGATAGAGTTCTTGGTTTTAATGAACATACTGAGCCGTTAAAGTCCTATGGAAACTGGTTCAATTATAATAGTTGTTGATTTTTGAAAATTTGCTTTTAGAAAATACTCCGAGTCAAAGTGTTTGTTTGTGTTCAATTATGTGTAATAAATCCACCCATAAATTAATTTATTGTTTATTGATTAAGTCGATTATTTACACATATCGGAAAGTTCATGTAACTTGCCTCAAGGCTAAATACCAATACCAACTAGTTAACTTCCCGTAGGGTAAGTTATTGTAATGGGCCAAAAATCGTAATTGAAAATTTTTACATTTCTCGACGTTTTGAAGTTTTCTGAACATTTTGGCATACCTCAGAAAAAATGGATGTGTGTGTGTGTATGTATGTATGGATACAAATTTCCAGTCACGTTTTCGGGCGCACGGATCAACCGATTTGATTGGTTCAAAAAACATTCGATTTCTATCGATAGGGAGAAGAGCTGATTAGTTTTTGGCAAAGGCAGGTCCAGCCGTTTTGGAGATACGGAGCAAAGTGTGCAGAAAATAAAAATCGAGTTTTTGAGAGAACGGAGTATCCATTTTGATTGATATAAAAAACATTCAATTAGTAATCAAAAAAAATTCGATTCCTATCGATAGGGAGAAGTGTTTATCAGATTTTGGCAAAGGCAGGCCCAGCCATTTCGAAGATACGGAGCTAAATATGTAAAAAATGGCAGTTTTTGAGAGAACTTTACGTCCGATTTAAATGATTCAAGGAACTTTCTGCTTGTCTTAACAAAATAATTGATTTTGAAAAAAAATTTTTGTTCCAACTTTTTTTTCTCAAAAAAAAATTTTTTTGTATATCGAAAATAATTCAGATTTTATTTTTAATTCTGACTATAGTTCTAATATACTTTAAACAAATAATTTCAACTTTGCAATTCAGTTTATATAATTCTTGTAAATATTAGACAATGTTACAATATTAATAATAATCTATTTGAAAACATTCAATATTCCCCGAACATTTCGTTACGGTACGGGAAGTTCCAACAATTTGCCTTAAGGAATGATGCCATATACCCCACTAGTTTTTATTTTTTTTTTAATTCTAATATATTTAAAAGACTTAAATATCCTGTATTTGTATTTTATGCTAATTATAAGTAAAATATCTATCTAATAATATTTATTAATACTATAGGTATGATGAAGTTCCGGTATATAATTACGTTTCATCAACGCGGAATAGAATGACCTGGGGAACTTATATGGACTACTACCAAATCTATGGACGAATGAAGCCCAGTTCGCGAGCAGTATGGTACTACGCACTTAATGATACAAAATATCATTTTTTGTTTTGGATATACACACTATTCATGCACATTTTACCTGCTGCATTAATTGATAGTCTTTTTGTACTGATCGGAAAACAACCTAAGTAAGTTATTTCTTAATATACACACCTTAAGGGACACAACTAGTGTGAAATTTTCAAAAAATCGAATTTTCAAATTTTAACTTCCCGTACGATGTTATTGTAATGGGCCGAAAATCGGAATTGAAAATTTTTACATTTCTCGACGTTTTAAAGGTTTCTGAACATTTTGGCATACTTCAGAAAAAATGGATGTGTGTGTGTGTGTGTATGTGTATGTATGGATACAAATTTTCGCCCACGTTTTCGGGCGTACGGATCAACCGATTTGAATGGTTCAAAAAACATTCGATTCCTATTGATAGGGAAAAGAGCTGATTAGTTTTTGGCAAAGGCAGGTCCAGCCGTTTTGGAGATACGGGGCAAAAAGTGCCAAAAACGGTAACTCACTTTTAAGAGAACGGAGCGTCCGATTTGAATAATTCAAAAAACATTTTATTTGTATTGAAGAACTGTTTAAATTCTTGAAATGGTAGGGGCAACGACTTCGGAGATATGGAGGAAAAAGTAAAAAAAAAAGCCATTTGGCGGTCAAAAATGATCATTAGACGTATGCGTGTCAAATTATCAAATATTTTATATAGATTTTAACAATAAGTATAAATTTTGTTATTATCCGTTAAACGGCGGCGCGGCGCTTACGCGCTTTGATATTTCGTCTCTATTCAGTTAAAGCAGTACGATTGCTTTGAAAAAAGTTCAGAATTTCAAAATTATTTCAAAATACACTTTTCTTCAAAAAGTCTTTTTTTCAAAAAAAGTTAATTTTTGTCAAAAAATTATAGTTTCTCAAAAATCTAATTTTTCAGAGTAATTTTTTTTCAAAAATGTCAATCTTTAAAAAAAAATTTTTTTGATACGGGAAGTTTGAGCAATTTGCCTTAAGGCACCATATATAATTTTTTTTAGATAACATGTGGGTCTATTTCCTATGGCCCATTCACAGTATATAAATCTAAATTCATTGAGATATTTAGTTATTTTTGCTCGAATATTTAGTTCATACAAAACTTTTTTCTGAAGATAATTACAAAAAATTCTTTTTGCTTTCAGACTGCTAGCTGCTTATAGAAAAATTCATAAATTCGTGGGAGTCATAGCATACTTTAGCACGAGAGAATGGAAATTTAATGATCAAAATGTAGTGGTAAGTACATGTTCAAATTCATAGAATAAATGCTGGAAAAAATAAAACTACGTCATAAAGAGATTGAAATTTGTATCTCAGATGAAAATAATACGGATTTTATTATAGTGTAGTGCTGACACTTGTTAAAGCAATAAAACTAACTATACTAAACTAAATTCACAACTTGGTATTTTGCCTTGAGGCAAGTTACATGAACTTCCCGAAATGTGTAAATAATCACAAATCAACCATTTTTATAATTGAGCCAGATCCGTAAGACTTTAATGGTTTCGTATGTTCATTAAGACCAAGTACTATCGTTATACCAAGTAAATCGTCTAACTTTAATTTTAACAAATGTCAAAAAAACTACTCATTTTCTCAAACTTTGATGAATTTTTAAAATTAAACTACTTGTCATAAGGCCGTAACATTTCAGTAAGGTATATAAGGCTATGATATATATCGCCAAAAAAAGTTCCATAAAAACCGGCTTAATTTATTTTTCAACAGTTATTTACAAAAAGCGGCTTGGTAGATCTTCACCTCAAACTAATCAGTATCATTCCCAGTTTAATACTTTTTTTTTAAAATTACAAAGAAACGGCTCGGCAGATCGTCTTACAAAACCGACAAACGATAATCCTCATCGAGATATATCAAATGGTTTTCAAATTTTTGAAAACGGTTCAAGCGTTTTTGAGCAAACCTCGATAAAAGATCTAATTTTCACAAATGCCTATGATACTAATTTTTGTAAATTTTGACGAATTTTTAAAGCTAAACGAGTTGTCGTAGGGTCGTCATCATATTTTAGTATGATCTAGAAGACTATGGTATCTACCGTCAAAAATTAAAATTAAAATCGTCGTCAACACGTTATTACAAGAAAACAGCCCGGCCGATCTCTACCAAAAACTCATAAACACGATTCCCAACCAGTATCTTTCGATCGGTTTTTGAATTTTCAAAATCGATTCAGAACTGCGGGCTAAAACGTGGGCAAAAAAAATTCACTTTACTGCTATTTACAAAGAAACGGCTTGGCTGACGCAAAATTGATAAACGTTAGTCCTTATTGCAATACATTGAGTGGCTTTTAAATTTTTGAAATCGGTCTAGCCGTTTTTGACAAAAACGTCTATTTACAGCAAAAAATATGTTCACACACACACATAATTTTTCCAAATTTGGTCTCATTGGCCGGCCGATCTCTACCAAAAACTCATAAACACGATTCCCAACCAGTATCTTTCGATCGGTTTTTGAATTTTCAAAATCGATTCAGAACTGCGGGCTAAAACGTGGGCAAAAAAAATTCACTTTACTGCTATTTACAAAGAAACGGCTTGGCTGACGCAAAATTGATAAACGTTAGTCTTATTGCAATACATTGAGTGGCTTTTAAATTTTTGAAATCGGTCTAGCCGTTTTTGACAAAAACGTCTATTTACAGCAAAAAATATGTTCACACACACACATAATTTTTCCAAATTTGGTCTCATTGGATTCAGAATGGCTAGAAACGTTGGGACCAAGAACGCTAGAAACGTTGGGACCATTAATATTATTTTTTGTCTCAACTTTTTTTCATTTTTTTTTTTCAAAAAAATTTTTTTTTGTATATCGAAAATAATTCAAATTTTTATTTTAATTCTGTTCTAATATACTTTAAACAAATAATTTCAACTTTCCAATTTAGTTTATTTAATTCTTATGAATATTCGACAATGTTGCAATATTTATAATAATCTATTTTAAAACATTTAATAGTCCTCTATCATTTCGTTACGGTACGGGAAGTTCCAGCAATTAGCCTTAAGGCACGATGCCATACACCTCACTAGTTTCTATATTATTTTTTCATATTATTTCTATTACAGTTTCCCATATCATCTCTTTAACTCATAGTTTGTCATTTTGACTCTGATTATTATAACTAAATGAAATAAAAAATTGCAATTGTTTGAATGGGAGCATTTGAAAATCGCTAACACGTATCATGATTATTTATCATTTCAGAACCTTTGGTGTAAACTATCATTACAAGACAAGGAAGAATTTTATTTTAATATAGAAAACTTGGATTGGCAACAGTATATTAAAAGCAGTATTGATGGAATCAGACTCTTTTTGTTTAAAGATGATCCATCCACAATACCAACAGCAATTAAAAAAATGCAAAGGTATTTATTATTCATTTACATAATTATCCCTTTATATTTACGGTTGATAAATAAATTTATTTAATTTATGCTTTTTAATATCTGATTAAAGTTAAAAACCTGATTTTCAACTTTTTATAAATATTTTGCGTACAACTTTTAAATTCTCGTAGGGTAAGTTATAGCAATCGCAAAAAAATCGAAAAATAAAAAATTTTATATATCTTTACGTTTCAAAGGTTTTTGAATATTTTGGCATACCTTAGAAAAAATGGATGTATGTGTGTGGGTGTATGAATGTGTGTACGGATACAAATTTTCGTCGACGATTTCGGGTACACCGATTAACCGATTTAAATAATTCAAAAAAACATTCAATTCGTACTGATAAGGAGACGTGCTGATTAGTTTTTGGCAAAGGCAGGTCTAGCCTTTCCAAAGATACGGAAGAAAAAGTGCCAAAGACGGTACCTCAGTTTTTAAGAGAACGGAGCGTCCGATTTTAATAATTCAATCAACATTTTACTTGTATTGACAAGAGGAAAAGCTGATCAAATTTTCATGAAGGCAGGTCTAGCGATTTCGGAGATCTAGTAAAAAAAAGTAGAAACAAATGCCATTTGGCGGTCAAAAATGATCATTAGACATATGCACATTAAATTATCAGATATTTTATAGAGATTTTAACAATAAGTATAAATTTTGTTTACATTCCTATGGGTTCCGTACCAATGTTTATCCGTTAGACGGCGACGCGGCGCTTACGCGCGTTGATATTTTGTCTCTGTGCAGTTAAAGCAGTGTGATTGCTTTAAAAAACTGTAGAATTTCCAAAATATGTCAAAAAAAAGAAATTTTTTTTTAAATCTAATTTTTTCGAAATAATTTTTTTTAAAAAATGTTAATCGTTTTTAAAAAAATAATAATTTTTGGTACGGAAAGTTGCAGCAATTTGCCTTAAGGCCATGCCTTGCCTTGATTTGATTTTCATGACTCTGCTATCGGGAGATAAACGGTAATTTTTGAAATTCCATAATAAAAGTATTTTCTTCCGTTGGTAGATTTTTAGCATTAGTTAAAGTAAAAAAGTAAAGTTAAAATTGTAATCATTTTGTAAAATACCTTTAAAATTAAAATAAGACATTAAACCTTTTTGCCACCTGCCCGTTTCGAGTTACTCCGCCTATAGGGTAAAAAGGTCTAAATTTTTTAAAGACATAAAAAAGCACATTTCTACAGTGATAAAGTAGAAGGCAGTTTTACTAAAAGTAGTCAGATAATTGTTCCTTTGAAATGTGTTATTTGTTGTGATATAATTGTTATGGTTTTCACAATATAGTTTCAAAGTCAAATTGGACTCCTGTGCCTTGATTTGGTCTACATATATACTTTTAATTAAATTTACTTTAATTCATCGAATGTTGCTTGAAACTTTTCAAAAAGCAGGTCAAAGAAGAAATATTACAGAAGAAAATTTTGTATAAGTTCAGTAGTATTATTTACAATTATACACAAAATTCAGAATCCAAAAAGAATCTGAAAAACTTGAAACGTAATGAATAAGTCGAAAGGCTAAAAAAGACTTGGATTGGATTATACCATGTTTTCTATAGAAAGTCTATAAAACTCTCAGTTTGATTGTATTGACAAAGTATAAACAAACTAATGGGGGTTTATTATTTTTATAATACCTCATTGTATATAGCATTCAAAACAATTAAAATGTGCAATATTTTCTAATATCAATGTTGAAAATTTCCTCTCGATTTTAGATCACAAACTCAGCCAAGTCATCAGCAATATACTCCCATTTAATAATAGCAAATTTGTTATTGCATAGCCATGATTGAATTTAAGGAAATGTATTGTGATTTATATAATTTAATATTAACTAACTAGGGCATGATTATATGAGCCGCTCAGTGCACACATCGACTAACTCCACTTTTTGAAAAAACTGAGATATTAGTGGGAAAGAACTTGGTATAATCATAACTTTTTATGATTATAATAATTTTCTAAAAGAATAAAAATTGCCACTGTGAAACGAAAATTTTTTTTGACCACTGAATCCATAAGTCATTTATTATAACTTCCCGAAGGAGAAGTTTATGTTTTCATCAAAAAATCCGATTCGCTAATTTTATGTTTTCTCGAGGTTTCAAGCCATTCTGAATCGAATGAGACCAAATTTGGAAAAAGTATGTGTGTGTGTGTGGTGTGTGTATGTGAACAGATTTTTGCCGTAAATCGACGTTCCTCGAAAACGGCTGGGTCGATTTCAAAATTTAAAAGCCATTCGATGTATCTCGACGAGAACTATTGTTTGTCAGTTTTGTGCGACGATCGGCCAAGCCGTTTCTTTATAAATGGCAGAAAAGTGAAAAATTTTTCGTCTACGTTTTAGCCCGCAATTTAAAATTTCGACGATTTTTATGATTATTTTTTTGACGATAGATACCATAGTCTTCTAGATCATACTAGTTCAGCTTTAAAAATTCGTCAAAGTTTGCAAAAATCAGTATGGTCTTTTTGGAATTTGTCAAAATTAGACTTTTGATCGACGTTTTCTCAAAAACGCCTGAACCGATTTTAGAAATTTAAAAGCCATTTGATGTATTTCGTTGAGGACTATCGTTTGTCAGTTTTGTGCAACGATCTGACAAGCCGTTTCTTTGTAATTCGAAAAAAAAGTGTTAAACTTTTCGTCCACATTTAAGCTCATCCTACCGAACCGATTTTAAAAAATCAAAAACTGTTCGAAAGATATTAGTTGGGAATGGTACTGATTAATTTTAGGTGAAAATCTACCGAGCCGTTTTCTTGTAATTAACTGTTGAAAAAAAGTGTTAAATTTTCGTCGACATTTAAGCTCATCCTACCGAACCGATTTTAAAAAATCAATAACTGTTCGAAAGATATTAGTTGGGAATAATACTGATTAATTTTAGGTGAAAATCTACCGAGCCGTTTTCTTGTAATTAACTGTTGAAAAAAAGTGTTAAATTTTCGTCGACATTTAAGCTCATCCTACCGGACCGATTTTAAAAAATCAAAAACTGTTCGAAAGATATTAGTTGGGAATGATACTGATTAATTCTAGGTGAAAATCTACCGAGCCGTCTTGTTGTAATTAACTGTTGAAAAAAAGTGTTAAATTTTCATCGACATTTAAGCTCATCCTACCGAACCGATTTTAAAAAATCAAAAACTGTTCGAAAGATATTATTGGGAATGATACTGATTAAATTTAGGTGAAATCTACCGAGCCGTTTTCTTGTAATTAACTGTTGAAAAAAGTGTTAATTTTCGTCGACATTTAAGCTCATCCTACCGAACCGATTTTAAAATATCAAAAACTGTTCGAAAGATATTAGTTGGGAATGATACTGATTAATTTTAGGTGAAATCTACCGAGCCGTTTTCTTGTAATTAACTGTTGAAAAAAAGTGTTAAATTTTCGTCGACATTTAAGCTCATCCTACCGAACCGATTTTAAAATATCAAAACTGTTCGAAAGATATTAGTTGGGAATGATACTGATTAATTTTAGGTGAAAATCTACCGAGCCGTTTTCTTGTAATTAACTGTTGAAAAAAAGTGTTAAATTTTCGTCGACATTTAAGCTCATCCTACCGAACCGATTTTAAAATATCAAAAACTGTTCGAAAGATATTAGTTGGGAATGATACTGATTAATTTTAGGTGAAAATCTACCGAGCCGTTTTCTTGTAATTAACTGTTAAAAAAAGGTGTTAAATTTTCGTCGACATTTAAGCTCATCCTACCGAACCGATTTTAAAATATCAAAAACTGTTCGAAAGATATTAGTTGGGAATGGTACTGATTAATTTTAGGTGAAAATCTACCGAGCCGTTTTCTTGTAATTAACTGTTGAAAAAAAAATTTAAGCTGATTTTCGTGGAACTTTTTTTGGCGATATACATCATGGTCTTATAGCACTTACTGTAATATTACGGCCTTACGACAAGTAGTTTAATTTTACAAATTCGTCAAAGTTTGCTAAAATTATTATCGTTTTATTAAAAGTAGGATTGATGAAGTATATTATTTACACTTTTTTTTTTGATTAAGTCGATTATTTACACATATCGGGAAGTTCATGTAACTTGCCTCAAGGCTAAATACCAAACCAACTAGTTTCAGAAGACATTTTGATTAACTCCATTCTGTAGTGTACGAGTACAAGTATATATTCTGGTTGGGTTGGATTTCGGGTTTCAAATTCATGAATTACGAATAAGAACACAGAACTGTAGGGTGTTGTGGGTCTCGAAAAAAATTCATCTAGTTTTATAAAAGACATCGAAGACGTTACAAACTTTGAAAAAATAACATACTAAAATTCGTGTACCCGGCAAAACAAGAATATTAAAACTGTCTGAAGTTTATTGAAACTTGTTCAAAGTACGGAAATAAGAGCTATCTTAATTAAAAATGAATTTCTGGTCGGTGAAAATAGTTATTAATCTATTACCTCAAGATTTTGTTATTATTGAGTCACGTGCGAAAAAAAATCGAGACATAATTTTACCAGATAGTTGATACAATATAATAAAAACATTTAAGAAAAAAGCGCCATTGTAGCTAAGTCGAATGCTTCACTAAGATTTTTTATCTATTTTTTATTTATTTAGAACAATAAATCAATAACAGAAAAGTAACCATCACAGGGTGTTCAGAAAATTGGCCTAAAATGCGCTGAATTTAGAATAGAAAGGTCCAAACCCAACGATATACAATTTAAGTGTGACTACAATGAAGATCCGAATTTAAAAAAAAAGCTTAAAGTTTAAAAAAAGTTGAAAACTTGATTAACTCCACAAGTCATATCAAAATTTTAACTTTAATGATAATTATTTTCTCACTATTAATAGTTATAAATCTTATATACCGTTACATGTAAGCTATATATGTATTTATACGTTCTAAAATATATTTTTCAATTTATATTATAACAGGAATTTTTAAAAACAATATACATTACTTTATCGCTTTTCTCCACTTTCTGACTTTCGGAGTTAGTCGATGTGTGCACTGAACGGCTCATATATTGTGAAACAA